TTGGCTGGTGCGGGGCCCGACACCCGCCTCCTCCCGCGCCTCAGGCATTCATTCCCGGAGCATATCTGCCGGCCTGGGGTCCTGTTGGATGTCGGCGCCGTCCGCCAGAGAAAAGGGAGTCTCTATTGGAGCCGAAAAGTTTGATATTCGCGGTTTTATAAAGCGCCCTGAAAGCGAGAAGAGGGGCTGGGAGATGTGCTCACTTGTACACACTCCTTATGACTCAGAAGGACTGCGCTATTATTCACCATTACGGCTCACGGCCAGGCCGTCCAGGCACTAAGGAGACGAACCTGCAAAGGGAAAAAGAGATGAGGAGGCGCTTACTAGAGAAGCCAAGGGAGGACCGCGTCTCTAGAAGGGAGTGGTCAACTGCGTTGAGTGCTACGAAAAGGTCAAGTAAAAGGACAGAAAAATGTCAGATGGAAGCCGTTGGGGACCTTAGCAAGAGCTGTTTAGGTGGACAGATGGAAGCCAGACTAAAGAGAGGTGAGGCACATGGGGAAATAGAGAATTTCCTGGTCCTTCGAGTTTCAGCTTAAACGCCACTCCCTCAGGGAGCCCTTCCTCAGCGACCTAATTCAGGCCCTGCCCTCGGAGCCTCTCACTGAGTTCCTAACCCTTTTCTCCGTGGCAACGTGTAATTAGTTCATTTGTGTGATTGTTTTATGTCTATCTCCCCAGCTCCACGAAGACAGGAATCCTGCGTGTTTTATACTCACCGCCAATACCTACCTCTAAATTAGAGGGTCGTAGGAGCTTAGTAGTTACCCATTGTATAAATGGGTACTTGTGAAGTGCCAAGTACTCTGCCTTCATTATCTCATTTAATCCACGTCTGAGTTGAGGAAATTAGAGAGTTTTGGTAATTTGTACCAGGTCATACAGCAAGTTAATACAATTAGAATCCAAACCCAGGTCATCAGGCACCAAAAGTTTAATAATTCTGTATGCTGCCTTCCCAATTGAAATTTCAAATCTGTTCAGTCAATATTTATTGATAGTAGACCAGAAGTAATTTTTTGTTGGTGAAAGATGCAAGAATGAATAAGATAAAAATCTGTACCCTGAAGAAAGTTTAGCATTCAATGAAACAAATATGTAAAGAAATAGTAAAATAGCCCAGCTGGTGTGTGGTTGAGCATCGACCTATGAACCAGGAGGTCAGGGTTCAATTCCCAGTCAGGGCATATGCCCGGGATGTTTCTATCATGTTCTCTTTCTCCCTTCCTCTCTGAAATCAATAAAAATATCTATATTTTAAAAGAAATAATAAGATGCTAATACTTTCCTTATTTATTATTTTCTATTTCAAGTTTGTCTATCACAAAGCTGATGAATTTTTAAAGGGTCTAAAAGATCTTCAAATTGAGGGCAAGATGTAGCTGGTCAACCTCAGGAGGAGTCAAAGCTCACCTTTGTTGAAGTGCAAAGCTACTCCCAGAAGCCCTTAACATCCTTATAAGTAAAATCTGCTACATTAAAAAAAAAAAAAAAAATGCCTACAAGCTTTGTTGTGAATCTTCTTGGTTCCTCTCTAAGTTATGGGAACACTTGGGTCATGGTTACTACCTGTGTTTTCCCGGGAAACACAGGATCCCAGAGGACAAAACCAGTAAATTTGATAGATGAATTTTGACACAGGGGTGCTTAAGGTATAAGTTGATCTACAGAATTATCAATGTCAAAGTTAAGGTTGTTCAGTGACAAAAATAAGATGCAAAACTGCCGTAATAAAAATATTGTTTCTTTGCTGCAAAGGGATTGTACTGTACTTCTGTCCCTTTCCTGAAAAGAGGCAAGAAAACAAAACTTTAAGGTAGTAGTAAAAAACAATACATATCTAAAAAGCTTGATAATGGATATTTGCTGGAAGATTGTTTTCCAGGACACTGAAGAGTTTGAGGTAACTAAGTTAACTGTACTTAAAATAGTAGTACATGACATTCCTATTTTCATCATTTGGTTTTCTCTGCAAGAGAAAATTGAATGAGGTAGAAGAGTAAGAAATGTTGAAAACCTAAATAAGAATCTAAGAAAACCTGTACTAAATGCACCTATCTCAATACCAGTAACTGCTAGCTAATTACATGAAGTCATTTCGTCTCAGGTGGCTACCTAGATAATCTGACAAAAACAAGTTTTTTTCCTTTTAGAGAGATACTTGTCCTATTATAAAATTAATGTATTATTATAAAACATATTTATTATTTTGTCCAAAAATGTATTTTTGCTGAGAAAATTTTGATTCCAAAATGGACAACATAATTACCCCTAGCCTTATTTTCTTTGAAATCTTTGCTATTGGTATGGCTTTGGACAAGTCAGTCTCTCCAAATTTTAGTTTATTCATTTGTAAAATTAGAATAATGATAGTACCACAGCATAGGATATGGAAATTAAATTTCAAAATGGAGAAAAAGCACTTATGATAGTACAATGTCTGACACAATAGTGATGTGTTAGCTAATATTGTTAGTAAGTCATATTCTTATAAATTTTCCATTTGTGTAGATTATATGATGGTCTAAATAATTTAAGGCACACATATATTATGTGACATTTGGCAATGGGTTAACAAGAAATATGTTTTTAAAAATTGGGAAAGCGTGATTGCTTGACATTAAGGGAAATACTAAGGACTTTTTTCATATCTTTATGGTTTAAAAATTCTATACATGTAACTTTTAAAATGTATAAATTGTATGATATACAGGGGTGAGCAGGTTTATGATTATTTCAATAGCTTTATTAACTCTTTCACATACTCACAGCTATAAACCTACTTTTGCCAACACCTGTGTGTGTGTGTATGTGTGTGTATATATATATATATCTCCTAAATACAGTCACATTGGGGGCTTAGGGCTTCAACACATGAATTTGGGAGGGGACACAATTCAGACTATAACAGACATTGCCAAATATCCTCTTGGAGAAAGGGGCAGAGAACTGCTTCTGGTTGAGGCATGAAAAAAATGTGTTATGCTTAGGAGAAGTTCTTGCTGAGGAATAAGTAAATTATGACCAAATTATAATTGGCCTTCTATGTTGCTGTAAAGAGTATGGCTTTTATTGTAAGGCTTTGAGGTGACAAAGGATATTTAAATTTTAATATTTAAGAAAATGCCTAAAATAGAAGACAACAGATATATCAATAGCATGTCAATACTATGCATACTGTGTATCCATTAAAAGACAGTAAAATGATATGCATGTAGATTATGTGGATAAATTTAAATGTTTACATAATACAAACAGGTTTTCAAGCTAGGGAAAATTAGTCATTTTTGCTTTGTGAAAGATGACTCTAATGGTAGCCTAGATTCTAGAACAGTGGTTCCCCTCCAGAAAATTGTTTCATTTATAAAGCCAAGTATATTTAAAGAACTTTTTTCTGCTTTGAGAATTTGGTACTTTCTGTTTTTTGAAGTTGAACAGTACTTTAAAATTATTATGATGAAATGACAGTGAGAGTAGATGATGGGTCTTTTGTTCCCTGACCCCCCCCCCCCAAAAAAAATTAAAGGCCTCGTATGTCATTTCTCAAAACCTTTTTGAAAACTTTCCTCAATAGTGAAATCCCAAGTCTGATGTCATTTATTCTAAAGAAAGAATTAGAAATGGCAGAGCCTGGTAGTAGGGCAGACTCGCTAAGATGTTATTGTTGAAAAATATTGATAAGAATTTAGGCGAAGTCTCTTAGGGTGCTAGAGAGGAGATATTGGGTTGCAGAAATATAGAATTAAGAATACTTACTGGGCCATTTAGTGTGGAGAGGGAGGAGTTCACGATGACACCCAGGTTTCTGGCCTGGGTTCCTGGGTGGATAGTGGTACCACTTTGTGAGATAGGGAATAGAAAAGGAGGAGTAGGTTTTGGAGGAGGTGGAGGGAGAGATAAGCTTTGGGCATTTTAACTTTGAGATGCCTGCAGAGCATCCAGGCAAAGATATCCAGTAGTCAGAAACGTGGATCTGGAGATTGTGAATTATTATGGCTTCCTTGGGTGTGGTAGAAGGCTGTGAATGAGGTATCTCAGGGAGAAGAGAAAAGGACCAGAAACAGAACACAATCCAGAAGGACATTAATGTTTTAGGGTATTTTTTTATGTGGTTTTATGTTTGTTTGTTTGTTTTGTTTTATTGTGGAGGTTTTTTCCTATAAGAAGCAAGGTTGGGAAATTCTGTTAAGAAAATTACAAAGTAATGATAAACCAAGAAGGAGAAAATGCTTTAGAGAATAAACACATGGAAGTGAGAGAAAATGTTTTTACAGAACAAAAGTTGGTTCAGCTATATCAACTGTTGAAGAAAGCAAATAGCATGAAGTCTCAAACTAGACCATTGATTTTATTTCTTTTTTCTTTTTTCTTTATTGATTAAGGTTTTACATATGTGTCCTGATCCCCCCCATTGCTCCACCCCCACCCCACTCATGCCCTCACCGCCCTGTTGTCTGTGTCCATTGGTTAGGCTTATATTCCTGCATATAAGTCCTTTGGTTGATCTCTCCCTTACCCCCACCCTCCCCTACCTTCCCTCTGAGGTTTGACGGTCTGATTGATGCTTCTCTGTCTCTGGATCTGTTTTTGTTCGTCAGTTTATGTTGTTCATTATATTCCACAAATGAGTGAGATCATGTGATATTTATCTTTCTCTGACTGGCTTGTTTTGCTTAGCATAATGCTCTCCAGTTCCATCCATGCTGTTGCAAATGGTAAGAATTCCTTCTTTTTTACTGCAACATAGTATTCCATTGTGTAGATGTACCACAGTTTTCTAATCCACTCATCTGCTGAGGGGCACTTAGCCTGTTTCCAAATCTTAGCTATGGTAAATTGTGCTGCTATGAACATAGGGGTGCATATATCCTTTCTGATTGATGTTTCTAGTTTCTTGGGATATATTCCTAGAAGTGGGATCACTGGGTCAAATGGAAGTTCCATTTTTAGTTTTTTGAGGAAACTCCATACTGTTTTCCACAGTGGCTGCACCAGTCTGCATTCCCACCAGCAGTGAAGGACGGCTCCTTGTTCTCCACATCCTCTCCAGCACTTGTCATTTGTTGATTTTTTGATGATAGCCATTCTGACAGCTGAGAGATGGTACCGCATTGTTGTTTTGATTTGCATCTCTCAGATGATTAGTGACTTTGAGCATGTTTTCATATGTCTCTTGGCCTTCCTTATGTCCTCTTCTGAAAGTATCTATCTAGGTCCGTTGCCCATTTTTTTATTGGGTTGTTTATCTTCCTTTTGTTAAGTTGTATGAGTTAGACCATTGATTTTAACCATTAGGATCCCTGTGGTGACTTTAGGGAGAACAGTTTTGTTAGAGAGCGCCAAAAAAAGGATTCTCATAAGAAATTGGGTTGCACTATTCTGGACATCAGCTGGAGGATCAAAGGATCCTTTATCTCAAACTCATTTCATCGGTGACTCTTGAAAGGCTCGCCCTTTTTGTTCTTCTGGAGAGCACCTTTCTTGAA